TATCTGGATGGCTGCAAAGAGGGTCACCTCCATGTTGCTGCCCCGGAGCTCACGTCAGCTGTGCTCGCCTGGAAAGAGGAGCTGATAGCTGGAGATGTGTGAAGAAGCTGAACTCTTTTGGACCTGCTTGGTTAAGCAATGCTGCTTATTTCCCTGAGCATGACATTATTTTCCACCTGAGTGATTTATGCAGCAAGATAACTCCTGAGAGAATAATATGGGAGAGAGATTTTGCATAATTTTTCTTGTATTTTAAGTGCCAAACAGAGGAAGAACGCTGCCAAGCTGGAAGCCTGTGGATCGTGGTAACGTATAGGATGGTGCTTGGTGCCACCACTAACACCAGTGCAGCTGGAGCCCAGGGGCTGCTTGCTTGTGCCCATCCAGCCCTGCACTCTGGGCGTTGCTGAGATGTGCAGCATGGCATGAACTTCATCAGCTTCTCTGCCCAAGGCTGACTCCCATTTCATGTAGCAGAGCCACATCCATCAGTGAGCTGCAACCCCGGCCTGCTGTTAGCAAGTTTAAGAGCCCGAATGCTATACATTTCTTTCTGTTTGGCTTTGAGAAGAGCCTTATGTTCAGCAGCTTTGTTTTAGAGAAGTAGAAGAGAAGGGAAAGGGGTGGGTGGTTCTTGGGTTTGTTTTAGTGCAGTCAGGTATTGATAATGCCAGGATGGAAACAGGGTGTTCATTGAGGTGATTTCATCTAAGGGCTTTGGCTCATCAGTAGATGGTGCCCATTCATGGATGCTGGATGTTCTGTGCCAGAAATAGCCCCGAGTTCCACAAAAATAAACAAATTGTAAACGTTTTTAAGTGGAACTGGTGTCCTCTCAGCCAAAAGAACAAAGTGACAAAAGCTGTGCGGAGTCCTGCTGCGCTGAACTGCTCAGCCCCACACACTGCAAGGGCCTCAGCTGTGCCAGGAGATGCCAGGGGTGGCCTGGGCAGGCAGACAGCAGAGAAAATGGGTTTTGAGAGAGGAGGAGTGAGGAGGGCTTTTAGATCCAGCAGCAGGAAGGTAGAGCAGTGCCTGGAAGGACAGGAGTGGCAGCAGGGCTGTTTGGAGCACAGCTCCCAGGGTACAGGATTGGATGGTTATGTCCCCATCCCATCCCATGTGCTGCCCAGGGCTGTGGGCGATCCAGGAGGAAAGGCGAAGCCCTGCTGTGTTCTGGGCTGCTGACTGACGGAGTTCCCTCTGCCGCTGCTCTTTGGGAAAAGCTGCTTTGAAGATGCTGAGTTTTACTCCATCTTTGTTTCTTGCTGTTGGTATTTTTGGTTCTTAGCTTTTTTTTTTTTCTGTTTTGTTTCCCACTCTGCACCCAACAGGAAGAGCCCCTTGCAAAGCCCTCAAGAGTAAGAAGAAGGGAAAAAACAGCTGACATTTGCTTTCTGCAGACAACAGGCAGCAGCCAGCAATTCCAAAAAGCCCATCACCACCTCTGCTATTCCCATGAGAAAGAGAAAGGAAATGGGATCCTACAAAAAAGAAAAAAAACGTGTTCCACATTACAGAGGCCTCATTGCTCTCATCAGTGCAGTCACTTCTCTGGTGGGATCAGACTTAGCCCATGCTATGGCATGGCTCAGTGGGCTGACACTTGAGTGGGAGCTTTGGAACTGAACACTGGGGTTTCCCTGGAAGGAGCTGAGCCTTCAGAGAACATCTGCTCAGCAGGGCAGCCCCAGAGGGCCCTGCAAAACCTTCTGTTCTTCTGGAGGGAACCGCTCACAGCACCACGTTCATCTCTTCTGGGAGTGACCTGACTGAAGCAGGATGGTCTTCATCCTCACAGACCTGCGTGCTGTTATTAATGAATGTATCTCTCTTGTTTTGGGGGCATGGAGAGTGTTTTCTTTGCCATTTAGAATCTAATGATACCAAAACCCCAGTCCAAATTTTGGATAGCTTCTTAGCTGATGGCTGGCTGGAGAGCCAGACTCTTGCTGTAAGACTTTTCTATGGCAGCATCACAGAAGTAGTTCTCTTGTTCTCAGTGCAGCAGCCTGAGCTGTTGGGGTGGCGGTGATGAAGCTGACATACAGGTTGCGAGCACTGCATTCTTTTACAGTGATCCCATCTCAAGAAGGGGACTTTCTCATCCCAGTGCCTCACAGCTGGGTGTCCTGGCAGGGCTGTGGGGCAGGCACTCCGCCCTGGGTTTGCTGTCATGGCACAGCTTGGCCGTGTTTTGGCCGCTGAGTCACCTGCAGGTGTTCAGTGGGGAGGAATCTCACTGCAGCAGGGGCTGGAGGCAAAGGGAAAGCCCTGCATGGAGCAGATAGCTGGCACCTCTGAGAAGAGCTCAGTGGGATTACCAGATGGAGGAGCCTGCACGAATGGGGAGCCGTGGGGAGATGAGGCACAGCTGCAGCCCCAGGCAAAACCCACCCTGGCAGCTGCCAGCTGTGCTCCAGATGTGCTGTAACTCAGCCATGTGCAGCCAGCAGGCGCTGCATGCAGGTATGATATCCAGCAGGCTTTGGTTTCCAAACTACAGCTCCTTGAGCAGCACCAACCATGCACAAGGGGTTCCAGGTGCCAACACCCACAGGAGCACATTCTCCGTGTCTTCAAATGAATTTAACGTGCTCTCTCCATTAGAGGGCAGAAGCATGCTTGTGCACAGATAAAACAAAACAAACGTACGTGCCCTATGTGCTGTATAAGTTCTTGTGTTAAGGGAAGGTAGAACACCATCACACTTTGCCAGCCAACTGCACCTGCTGGGAAGAAAAGGCAGCAGGGAGAAGTGGTGCTTTAAGGGTTAACCTCTGCGCCTGGGGATCGCTGGGTGCTCTGTGTAGCACCTCCTCCTGTTTGAAGCTGGAAATAGATTTGTGCTATGGTAAGTACAAACGTCTCTCAGGTTTGCTAAGGATCAGCTAATGCAGGTAAATACTCATCTTGCAATTCCAGTAGAAAAGTGCAGGAGGATTGCTTTTGAATATTGCTAATTAGGAGGTGAACATTTGGAGGATTTCTCTTAATAGTCTGCAGTTTTACAAAGCTTGGTGAAAGTTGTGCTGCACTGCTGTATTTCAGCCCTATGCTCATGTAAAGCTCTGCAGAAATAAAGCATTGCCCATAACCACGTGGGGAAATCACGATGTCTGTTGGACTCAGCAACACAGCTTCTGTGGGGAGGAGAGGTGCCAGGTGCCGGCCTTAAGCAGATATGAACTTCAGGTTAGTTCAGGCTAAAAATTTAACCTTTCGTGTCCTCTGGGTGCCAGCTGTGCTGGGAATATTTATGGCATGGACACTTTCTCCTTTGAAACTGGCCCAAATCCATGGAGTTATCCTCTCTGTTTTAAGTGCTGGGGCACAGTGGGGGCGGCTTCAGCCCCTGGTGGGGTCTGACCTCGGGGGGCACCCAGGGTTGAGGTGCAGAGGGCAGAGTGGTGGGGTGGCACGAAGTGTGGGCTGAGCCGTGCCGGGTGTGCTGCTTCAGTCCTGAGCTGAACTGAAGGGAAGGGAATTGCAATCGCATGCAAAATTCATAGGATTGTAGAATATCCGGAGCTGGAAGGGACCCACGAGGATCATCAATTCAAGATGAGTCATAAATATTTCCCAGAGACCCTCCTGGGTTTTGGGGATGGTTGGTTGTTTTTCTTAAATGTTAGAGGCTGGGGCTTGAAATACAGCACAGAGCGTTTGTTGTACACTCTTCTGTGTTAATGTAATGAAACGTGCAGCGCTGGACTTCAGGAGCAGCAGCCGGGGGCTGGAGCACTGACTGCTGTTGTGATCTGTGATCTCACAGTGACACATCAGTTATAGGTGAACCCATCACTCATTTTTACAGATTTCATCTGCTGGTGGAGGCTGGGGAGCACCTGTGGGCATGGGCTGCTTGGGTACATCTCTGTGACACAGGGGGGCCATCCTCTAGGAGAGAGAAAGCAGAAATCACAGAAATGCTTTTACAGAACTTTGGGTTTTTTTTTTATTGGGACTTTTCAGTGCTGAGAGGATTTTCTGGTGTTTTACCAGGGACGGAGCATGCAGGCTGAATTAGAGAATACAGATGAGTTGATAATCCTAGAGATGGCAGAAGATGAAACAGACGCAAAATGGTGTTTTACTGCAATAATTGCTTTTCAGAGAACTGGAGAACGACCTCAGGGTAACAGTTTTGCAGGAAACACTTCTCACTTCTGAATGCGTTTCCTAGTTCAGTGACTCAGTTTGACTTGAGATGACAGCAGTCACTTACAGGAAAAGTGAGGAAATGAGCTGATAGTCAAGAGCAGTGTGGGTGAGGGGAAGAGTGTTTCTCACTGTAAAATATGAAAAAAATCAATTAAACCTTTACAGCACTGTGATTTAATGAGTGCTGCAGGAGTGCTGAAGCATGGGCAGGGCACAGGCCTGCTGCTGCTTCACTCCTGTTCGTGGTGGGAGAAAAGAGGTTTCCTGCACCTCAGCATTGCTCATCTCAGTTCTGGTGGTGGTGAGGGCACCCATGGGGCTGAGACCTGCACAGTCTGGGGTGGGCTGGGGCTGTGCAGCCCTTGGTGCAGTGTCAGCCCCTGGGCTTCCACAGCCGGGACCCACTGGGATGTGCAGACAGGCAACGATGCTCAGGCACTGCACAGCATGGCCCAGGGAACAGCCTCGTGGCAGCAGGAGGAGATGCTCATAGAAACCATCCCTGTGCAGCAGTGAGCTGGCTCTCTGGGTGAGCCACGGCACGGCAGGTAAGGTGCTGGAGCAGCAGCGTACAGCCTGACAGCTCTGCCCATGGTGTGCCGGGAGCAGGGCGATGGAGCAGGGGTTAACTGGAAAATCCAGCTCTTGTTGTCTGGAAGAATGCAGATCTGGCCTTGAAATGTTTCCCAAGGTCTTGGCACTTCATTTTGTGGCTGTGTCTCATGCTCGGTCTATTCCCAAGGCACCAGCTATCGTCGGATGTCGTCTGCTTGTCTCTCGGTTGCTGTTTGTTTCTGTGGTTGCACGTTGATAAGGTATCTGGTTATGTCTTGCAGCCCTCAGAATCCAAGCCCAACGTCACCCCTCTCACCGTCCTGGCCCATGTTCTCTGCGCCATCAAGTCCTATGCCCACCTCCTCTACGTCCAGCGACTCATCCCCCATCAGGTCTGTTGCACAATTTGCTTGGCTTTCTGTTGCTTTTCCTATTTTCTGTTTAATTTACTTGGCTTGCCCCACTTCACTTCCCTTCCCCCTTTGCATCCTGCTCAAAACCCCCAGTGCAGCTATCTGCATTCAGCAAGAGAGGAGCTTTCAGATGTCTCCTGTCCCAGCAGAGCCATGGGCACCCCCTGTGCACCTCTGGTCCCCCATGTGCAGCCCTGGGGCTCAAGCCGGGGCAGGCAGGTCCCACTGGTGCTGAGTTCTTTGTGTTTTCAGCCATTTCCTCTCCCTGGAGCTTGCTGTGCTCGCCTCTACAACAGGTAAGCAATGTAGTGCTACCCCAGCTGCTACCAGGAGTAATACTGCATTTTCTGGCTGTTTTCCATTTCTTAGCTGCAGTGCAGGGAGGGTGAAGGGCATGGTGCAGCACAGATGTTGGCCTGCCATTAGCCCATGTCTCAGGTGCGTGGGCATCACTGGAGCAAGTTGGTCTGGCCCAGCACGGTGTGGTGGGGACATGCCAGACCTGTCTGCTCATTGCAGGCACAGCCTGAGCATTCCCCCTCCTACAGCAGTGCATGCTGCCTGCTGGTAGCATTATTTGTGTCCCAGTACACATACGCAGAGGCTGACAGTGGTGTAATACCATCTGAGCAGCCCTCCTCAGGGCTCATTATCCTCAAATCTGCTCTGGGGCACTTGGGTGAAGCTCCTGTGAGTGCTTGGCTGTGCCATGCTTGGATGCAGGAATCACACAGTGACTGTCACCAGTCTCCAGGTCTCTGCACTGCATGGGGGCTGCAGAGCTGAGGGGAGTTTTGGGAAGAGAATTGTGCATAACTCAAGGTTGTGAGCCAGAAAGTGTCCTCTGCCTGACTGTGTGAGATGAGAGGCCTCCAGGTGGCCACGGACCCTCTGCTGAGCAGAGGGCTTTGCCTGTGCTGTGCTGTAAAGCGTTCTGCTGCTGCTCATGTCATACAGCTGGAATTCAGATAGGAAAAATCTCAGCCCTGTGGCTGTGCTGACAGCAAAACCAAAACCATTCACAGCTTTCCTGGTTTGTGGTTTCTATGTGAGTGTGCAACCGCTTTTGCCCTGAGGTGAGCACATGTATTCAGAATCACTTCAGGTCCTTGGGAACAGCCCCTCGAGCCCCCAGAGGGAATGCCAGTGCCCTGGGGGCGGTGCTGGCCGTCCTGGAGCACTCACAGCTCTGTGCCCTGGCTGCGGGTTGGGGAGGCACTGCGCTGTGTCTGCTATGGGCACTGGGATGGGGGGTGGGCAGCTCCAGGTAGTGCAGTGTGCTGCTGGGCTCCTCCGTCTGCTCCCAGAAATTCACCTCCGTTTCCAGCCCTTTCAGCTCCAACTCACTGCTGGGCACAGTATGGCACACTGACTCTTCCCGGTAAAACCTAATGGTTGCTAAATCTTTTTGTCCTCAGGTACAGCCTTTAAAGAAGTGCAGCAAATCCCTCATGGATTTACTGAGCTGTTTTTCGGGTTTGAGACACCCTTCCCCAGGTGCTAATTTTTATGCCAATCAATGCTTTCTCTTTGCAGCTCACCACTGCGGAAAGCCCGAGCTTTGTACGCCTGCAAAGCAGAACACGACTCAGAGCTCTCCTTCACAGCAGGCACTGTGTTTGACAATGGTGAGTGAATGCTGGCACGGCTGGGCTGGGTCCTGCGGACTGGAGCTCACTGCCCCATTCCACAGCGTGACCCCCTCGAGCAGATTGGCACAGCCTGGCCTGGCAGCCAGGGGCTCCTGTTCTCTGACAGCATCTCTTGTTTCATGTATATGGGAGAAACTGCAGGGCCGGTGTCAGTGGGAACATGAACACAGCTGCAGTGAACGCCAGTTGGCCATTGTTTGTTTTAGCACTGTATTTTGCAAATTACTGGTTTTCCTCCTGTGACCCGGGGAAGAGTTGGACTCTAAATGCACGGGTTTCCTTTCAGTCCTACGCCTAATGACTATCCCATTTCCATCACTAGAAATCCCATGAAAGAAAAAAGCAGCAGTGCTTGAACCTGCCATTCAATCCCAGATGTATCTTGCCTTATGTTTTATATCCGTGCTGAAAAGAGCCCATCATCCAGTCCTGTTGTAGCATGGAAATGACTTCTCCAAGGCCATGACTGAGCTCACCCTCGGGGAGACATGAGGTGGGGGCAGGTGGGAAGGATCCTGCTGCTCCCCAGCAGGTCAGAGGCCACGAGCAGAGCTGGGGCTGTCACTGCAGTATGCAGGCTTTGTGACCCCACTGCATCCCTCCCACGGACCCATCGTTTAAATCCAAGACAAAAACCAGTGGGCGGTTGGCAGACACCACCATTCAGCAAAGAACTGTTCTTTGATTGCTCTGGGATGGGAGAGGTGAGCTTCCAAGTACTGGCACAGCAATTCCCCCTGCAGCTGCCGTACTGTTTGGTGCAGGAAATGGAGAAGTGATGAGGGCCTTTTTCCTATGCACAGAGTGCTGGAAGAGGTTGCCCTTGATCAGGTGTGCTTTTTGGATACCATGTTAATGAACAGAGACTCTGTTTCCTGCATCGGGGGAAGGAGGCTGTGCCCTATGGAATTAGGCAGTTCTGTTTTAGATATAATCCCAGTATAAAGAAAAGATTTTTTACTGTTTTCCGAGTGGCTCTTGGCTTTTATGTGCTAAGCACTGTCATTTGAGAAGCTGCTCCCACGCGCACAGCCCTGTCCTGCTGTATGAGAACATAGCAGAGAGGAGAAGAGACTTAATACAGGTGAATTAAAGAAATGCTTTTCCTAAGCAACACCACAGATATCCTACAAATAAACACAGTTTCCCCTCTGAGAGCCCATGGGAATCCAAGCAGCTAGCAGGGGAGCAAGTTGGAATTAAATGCATTGTGTTTGCTAGATAAAAATCAGTGGATTATTCAAGGGAAAAAGTCTACAGCCTCAGTGTCCCAGTCACTGAGCAGCCGGGCTGCGTGCTGGTTGGGGGAAGTGAGTTGGAAAGAGCACCCTAGAAATGTCTTATGGTGAAGGGCTTCTGTAAACCCAATGTCAGCAAATGTAGGGTGGAGGTATTTATTTGTAATCACCCTCAACAGTGTCCCCAGCAGCGATGCGCTCTGCCGAACTGGTGCAGACTGGGCCTTTCCAAAGCAGGGAGATGTTTGGACTTAGAGCAGTTCCATCTTTCCTGGTCTGTGTCAGTTGTGATCTGTCAATAGAAGATTGCTGTTCTGCACTGAGGGAGGCTGTAGCAGGACAGGTGTGGAGGAACCTGAGTGCTCTGTAGGGCAAAAAGCAGGACGTGGACATGGAATCACCACCGCAGTTTTGGGGCATCTCAGGCCACGGGAGTGGGTCATGCTCAGCTGAGCTTCAGCAGGGTTTGGCCCAGGGCAGGAGTACGTGGTGAGCCCCGTGGTAACACACTTCTCTTCCTTCTCTCCTCCAGTGCACCCATCGCAGGAGCCCGGCTGGCTGGAAGGGACACTGAACGGGAAGACCGGGCTCATCCCTGAGAACTACGTGGAGTTCCTATAGCCGGGCACGTGAGCGGGACTGCTGGGCGTTACATGGTATCCATGGCACCGCTTGGCCCTGCGTGTGCTGCGGGGCGAAGGGCTCCCCGTGCCAACAGTGTGGGTGCTGCTCTGTGCGCAGTGCTGCGTCCCCAGCCCGGAGCCCCCGCCGCCACGAGGACGGCAGCAAAGCAGCGGCCTGCAGCTCTGGGGGAACGTGTCTGCAGGCCGCCCTGAACCAGCACCGCTGTCCCCATTGCTGCAGTGCTTGTGAGCTGCAAGGAGCATCGTCAGCTGCAGGCCCAGAGCCCGACCTGCGCTCTGCCCGGCGCAGGAGAAGCCTCAGCAACAAGAAGCCCTCAGCCGGCCCGCAGCCCCCCGCTCTGCAGCAGTGCGGCGGCACTGAGCCCCCCTGCACCCTGCCTGGCTGGCGAGGGCGGGCGGCCATCCCGGACCAACCCCTGTGACTGTTTTCTTTTGTTTTTAGGTCTAAGTTTACTCAAGGTAAACATCTGCAATGTGTGCAGCCTGCAGAGCTGGACCTGCGGGTACCCGCCGGGAGCTGGGAATGGTTCTATTTTGTGATAGAAAATGGCGAAGGAAAACCCAGCCCGTGGGCAGAGACCTGTGCACGCGTGGTGGGATGGGGTCTTTTTGTCCTTTTGTAATAATTTTAAAGCCTCTGAGTGACTGGATTGCTGTATGTATGTGTCACTTTTTATTTTTGAAAGAATTAATGTATAAATAGAGAATCTTAAAATATAATGGGGGAAAGATCTATATTATTTGATATTTTTAGAAGGGCTGTAAGGAGAGGAGCGAAGGACATTTGAAACCGGTGATGGAAAAAGACGGTGCAAACACACTGACATCCACAGCCAGCCCTGGGCCTTGGCCTCTCTGTTCGCTTCCCTGTGTCACTGAGAAATAGGGGAAGCTGAAATTTCAGACCTCTTTAAAGTTCATTCACAGTAATTAAACTTCCTGGACTTTTGTCTTCAGAAAAAAAAAGAAAGACAGGAAAAGTCAGGCTTTTTTTTAAGTACTTTCCAGGGCTGTGGTGGTGCTGCCTTCCCTGCCAGACCCAAGGGCAGTGGCTCTGCTTCCCTTGACACTGCTTCTCCCTTCCCCATTCTCATTCCATCCCTTCCCTCTTCCCATCCCTGCCCATTCAAGCAGTAGCAGCGGTGCCCCCCGACCCCAAGCGTGGGCAAAGGTGGAGTGAGCACATCTGGGCCCCAGATGGGGTTAAAGGGTGTGAGGCTGTGAAACAGAGTAAGGGAACAGTTAGGACGAAGGAAAAAGCCAGGCTGGCTGAAGCCTTTGGGAAGCAGCAAAGCTGCTGATCTAAAAAACACACCCAGCAACTGCAGCTCTTAATTTTTAGATGTGTGCATCACTGAGAAAACCTCTTTTGCTAATTCCTGTGATTTTCTGAGGTGTCGGGTAGGCCTGCAGGAGTGGCACGCACTGAGGATGCTCCAGGCACTGCCAGGGGCTGCTGCAGTGGGGATGGTGTTGTCACTTGTCCTGGGGGGGATCTGCAGCAATAATGCAGCTCCTCCTCTGCTCTGGGAGCAGCCGGCTCTGGCCGCGCTGTGCTGCAGCCCTGTGCTCCTTGGGGTGGGCTGGCTGGTGTGGGTATTTCGAGCCGCTGTTACTCAGGGAGAGCAACAATTTCAGGCCCTGGCCATGAATTTTTCAGATTCCCATCTGTCTCAGCAGTCAGACAAAACATCCTCCTGGTAATTGTCTTGTCTCGAGATGACTTCTGCTGAGCTCGGGGGCCTGAATTGCAGCCCAGACCATTACAGCTAATTACAGCCGCGCGCGGCGGCAGCTCGCGGTGCTCTGCTCCGTGCTGTGGCACACGTGGGGGGCTGGGGCTGTGTCCTCAGTGCCAGCTGCAGGCAGCTCTGCTGCTCCCATGCAGTGCTGTGAGGCTGTGTGGTGCTGCAAGGCTGCATGGCGCTGTTTTCAGGGCTGTGTGCTGCAGGGCTGCGTGGAGCAGCTGTGCTGAGCAGCCTGGCCGTGCTGCAGGACATCGTAGCACCACAGGGCTGTAACACTGCTGTGCGTCCGCCTGCACTGAAGGGTGAGAGAAACGCCTCTGCTGTGGGAAAGGGCTGAGCTCTCATGCTGACGGAGAAGTTTTGTTACATTTATTTCAGGCGCTGCCTGCCACTTTATTCTGTAAATTGTATTTGTAGCACTGGAATTTTCCTTAGAAGAATGATGGCTCTGATTTTGGTTTCACTTCTGCCGACAGCCTGGAAGAGGCTGTAAGTGAGGGTGGGATCGAGATGCTCATTAGGGGCTCCTGCTGCAGCCAGCTGATGGCTCTGCTGACACAGAAGAGTTCCTCTGATGTATCTGAGAGCTTTCACAGCACAAACCCAAACAGCTCAAGGAGCATCTGTGCAAGTCCCAGCTCTCCCTGGACTTGCCCTTTGTCTCACTGGGGTGGTGGTCACCTCCCAGCGTGAGCACTGTCACTGCCCTTTGTTCTGCTCCACCCGTGGCACAGCACGGCTCTGGGCAGCAGTGGGACAGAATGGGAACCCTGTGGGGCTGCAGTGGGTTCGGTGCATTCTGGGCAGTTCTGGCCCCACAGGTTTCCCCACTGCCCTCATGGGCTGTAGGCTCAGCCAAGGCCCCACAGCTCACAGCAGAAGGGGCAGAGCACTGGGAACAGAGCAGGAAGGCACAGCACTGCAGAAAGAGGCTGCAGGAGCTGAGGGCTCAATGACAGGGCAGTAAGACACAGTGCTTCATGCAATCCCCATTTCACTGTTGGATGACCAAAGGCGGAGCGCGCTCCATGCAAAGCCTGTTGGGAGCAGCACATTAGACAGCCCCTGTACAGAGCTGGAAAACCAGCATTGTCCTTTGCCAAAGGACAGTGCAGAGGTCCCACATCCCAGAGGTGACAGCCATGGCCTTCTGCCTCTGAGCTCCAAACTGCCTGGCTCTGGGAGCTCACCGCAGCCCAGTCTCAGGCCTGGGCTGCTCCAATTGAAATAGCACAAATCTTATGATTCTGATGCTCTGCGGAGCAGCTTGCAGTAAATGACAGCAGGCCTGGAATAGCACTCAGTAATAAAATCCACAGACCAGAAATATCCCCTGACGGGGCTGCCTGGAATGGGTTGTGCATGCGGTGTGTCTGCGAATGTGTCCAGGCTGCAGAACACAGAAACACAGAGCAGAGCTGGGCTCCCGCTCAGGACTGGGAACCCGATTTCCCTGGCTGCACAGGAGCTGCTTTCCACTGTGGGAGGGCATTGGGCAGCAGTGCTGCATTTCCAGCCCATGCTGCCCCACCCCCTACCATCACAGGCAGCTCCTGCATGGACGGGATTTGCTTTTCCTACCATTCATTCTTCTTACCCAGCAGCACTTCGTCCCTGTGCCCACATTGGAGCAGCGGATGGCAGCAGAGCAAGGAAAGCAATGGCAGCACTCAGAAACAGCTCTGCGTGCCTGTTGGGATGCTCATGGTTCCCTGCAGTTCCCCTCTCCCATGGCTCAGCTGAGCACTTCCACAGCTGCGACGTCAGTCAGGTCTGATGGCAGAGCTGTGGAGCTGTAACCCCTGAGCTGGGTTGGTTTAAGGCAAATTAACAGGAGTGTCATCTGTGCTGAAGGGACAGATTCTGCTTAAAAAATGAACAGTGTTTTAATTATTCTAATGAACCAGAAACCTCAAAGCAATTATACTTGGTATATTTGGGCTAATTTGATTTTTTAAGTTAGAAATGTTTTTTGGTTTTTTTTTTTCCCTAAAAAACAGGTGTTTCAGTCTCTTCTATGTGTGAGGAGCTGGGACCCCCAGCCATGCCACACAGCAGTGGTAATACAGCACAGCTGCTGGCAGCTCACCAGGCAGCACCTGCTATCACCCATTATGAATGCTCCCTCTGCTAATGAAGGCAGTTCTGCTCCTAAACCTCAGACAAAGATGCCCAGAAAATAACACCTGGGCTCTAAAACTCAGTGACGCACTCAGGAAGGGGGAAGAGCTGTGGGGTTCCAGGGGCAGCTGGGAGGGCTCAGCCCTTCGCAGCGCTCTGAGCACACTTTGCTCATGGAGGGTCCTGCAGCTCTGCCTGCAGACCCTGCAGTCTGCCCCACACAGTGCACTTTCTCCCTGCCAGCATGGCTGCACAAAGAGCGAGCGATGGCCACGGGATGGGAAAAGCACTGTTTGTAGAGCAGCATGAATAAGGCCATGTATAAGGAAAAAGTGGCAAAGCCATTGTACTTCTGGCAAGGGAAAAATACTGGTCAAACTGCGTATTGTTTCGGCAGATGATGTTCCTTAATGGGTTATTGGACAAACGTGATCCTTGCAGAGCTCCTGATCCCCTCGGCACACCCTGCTCCTCCCAGTTCACCTCCACTGTGTGTTGGTGGAGGGATGGGCTGTGCAGGTGTGTGGCTGCAGGAGCCATGCGTGGGGCTTAGGGGCATGCATGTGCTCCTCTGGTAACGTGTTAGATACAAACATGCAGAGCAAGCAAACTTATGTGTCTGAATAGCAGTACATACAGCGGTGGGTAGTATAAGTGCATGTACAGCTCTGTTGCTGTACAGTCACATAAGGGCCCGTGTGCACAGAGCTGCGCCATGCAGTGCGCTCAGCTCAGCCCCGCGGTGCCCCAGGGATCGGGGTCTGTCTCGGGGCCGTGGCAGCTCAGCCTCCCCTCCTCCGCCTCAGCGGGCACAATGGGCACTTCTGCAGAGCCAAGCCCCTCCCGCAGGAAGCATCGCCCCATCCCGTCGCATTAGCAATGCAATTAGCGGCCGCGTTAAATGCCGCATCAGCAGTTTCTCCTCACCCTATTCATGCGGTTTAATCTTGAACCAACAGAGCCTATAATTAGAAGGGTTCCACTTACTTGTTATTTTTTAAACTTAAAGCTCCCTGCGGTGACCTCAGGGAATATCCTTAATTACGATGTGGAGCTGTGCCACAGCCGACGGCGCAGCGGAAGGAGAATGGACCTCTGCGGGTTCTGCTGACAGCAAGTTCCTTCCTGAACCCGGTCCTGGAGGTCTGAGCATCTCCTTCCTTGTGCTGGGGTTCCCAGTCCTGCAGCCGTGGTGAGCTGGGTGGCTGTGCTCCTGGCCATCCCCACTCACTCCTGAGTTCACTCTGAGACGTGTTCTGGAGGAGCCATTGCCCAGTGGTGGCGATGTCCCAGGGGCTGAGGGCTGGGACATCCAAATGCCAGCGCTATAAAAACAGCATTTAATGGCATCTTTTCCAAACCGCTCTCAAATTCTGTCTTTTTATTGGGATAGCGTGTACAAAACAAAGCAAGGCCATCACAGATTTCAGGCTCACGCTGGGTTCCAACTGGGTTTCCTGGAAGATGGAGATGGATGCCCGATGAGTGCGGCGCAGCGCCCGGCCCCACGCTGCTGGGAGCCGTCCTGACACCTCTGGGTGAGGACCTGAGCAGCACAGTGCCACAGAGGGGACGGTGGTGGCACTCAGGGACCTCCACGCTCTGCCAGGCAGCGCAGCGCTGTGCTGTGGGCAGAAGGCAGTTATTTCATCTAGGATCCGATGTGTCCCTTAAAGGGTCTTTTCACCACCATTACACAAATTAATGCCGTTGCTGTCAATCCCGCTCTCGTGTTGCCTCCAACCCTGGCCTACAGTGGAGCATGGAAAGAACCGAAGCAAAATTTATGTAACTCTTTGTTCTGATGGCAAACAATCCCCATCGACTGTACCCTGCTGGGAAGTTGGCATTTTATGCTGCAATTAAAGCCGATTTTATTACACGGCTGATCTTACACTGCTATTCAGGGGGGTAAAGGAGGGGCAGTGCTGAGCGCCGCACACCCGCAGCTCCGCTGAGCGACGGCAGGACGACGCGCTGCACGGGCAGCTGCAGCAGCAGTGGCAGCCCCACAGCCACAGCCAACATGGGGCACAGCCCCGGGGCACAGACTGCTTTGACTGGGGCTCCCAACCTGAAAATGGGAGTGAGAACCTCAGTGGCAAGGACTGAAAAATGCAAGTCATGATTTCCAATTAAAACGCTCCTCCGAACGCAATTAGCAGAAATCCTCTCACTCAGGAACTTAACTGCAGCAGCAATTAGCCTTCCTATAAATACTGTGTGCGCGAGGTGCACAGTGACAACGTGAGGGAACCCACCCAGCCGTCGCTCTGCAGGAACACGGCGACAAGGCCACAGAAGCATTTTGGAGCCATTTAATGAAAAAAGCAGAATTTTATTGTATGGTTTCTGTCCATTACTCGGCATTGCTGTAAATGGCTCACATTTACTGCAACTTCTGTACAGATGTGTGGCTTTGTATTACCAGAACAGCAAATTTAAATGAAAAAATAAATGCTCAACAATTCCACACAAGCTTTTACAGTCCAACATTTCACTGAGTCGGTGAAAACTACAGACTTGTTACTACAGAATTATTCAGCATGAATAAAAAACTACAACTTTCATTTTTAAACAGGAGTCACTGGTTTAAATTTTTTTTTTTATGCTGTTTAAAATTATTGTGATAAAAATAATGATTTTTTTTTTTTTTAATAATGCCATACACCGATATAGGATTTGTCCCCGTTATATATCTTTCTTTTAATATACAAAATAGAGTACTGACACACGGCCGACGCACGCTGTTCCGCGGTTAGTGGAGGTGGGGGTGTTTCACGCTCAGCCTTCCCCAGCACCCAGCCTCCCACCGTCGGGAGCGGCTCCACTCCTTCCCCCAACATTTGGTTCCTACGTGACACCAAAGCAGCCGCAGGTCTGCGCGGTGCTGGGCTGCGGCACACTGACAGCGCTCCCAAACCACGGCCACAGCCCTCGCCCAGCGCTCCGGAGCGGGACCGGGCTGACCCTCACCCAGGCACTTCCTCCTATTCCTGACCTGTCATAGCAAAAAGGGCAAGGTCATTTTGAAGCCCAAAATGGCCCCCGGCGCATCCCCGCTGCCCTCCTTAAGGCCGCTCCGATCGCCCCGTGCGGCCCCGAGCGCGATGCCCCGCGCGGACGCACGCACTGTGATAAGGCACTGAAGGGACACAAGTCGCTGTTCTCCCTGCTTTACCCAGAGTGCAGACACTGCCCAGTGCTACAAGGACTGTGACACACACGACACGTAACTCCTCGCTGCTCACTAACACGACTCGTTTGTAACCGTGATGCTTCAAACTCAACAGCGCGTACAGCACGGATGCCATCTCCGAACACCACAGCTGCCTTCTTTCCTTACACTCGTGAACCAAAAGGAACCTACAGGCACACGGAGCAGAGGGGCAGCAGCCTCTCCTCTCCTCTGTTACCGCCTCTCTCGCGATGACAACAATTTGTTCACATTCACTGTAGTTAATTCTCTGCTGGGGGGAGAGGGGGGGAAATAAAATAGAAAAAGAAGAAAAAAGAAAAAAAGCAAAGGCAAAAAAAGAAACCAGACCAAAAGAGAGCAGGAGTAGTGCCTGTGCACACCAACTCTGCAGAAGGGCTGCACGCACCTGGAGCTGCAATGGTGGATCTCCAGCAGAGCTCTCGCAGAGCACAGCCCCGCAGCGGGCATCCCATGGGCTGAAGGGCCCGGAGCTTCCCCAAGAGCTGAAGGGCACCAAAATTGCCATAAAATGTACGTGGTTTGTACAGATCATTCAAAGAGAAGAGAACAATTATTTTTTTTTATTAAAGATGATATTTTACTCCAAAGTACTGAATATAGTATCTTTTCCTGTAATAGGTATAACATTCAAAAAGATTTAAGAAAGGATGAAAATTTAGTTTCCTATCTCGCTCGGAAACGAACTTCTGCTGAACGGCAGAAGGTACTGGTGTGTTGTGAACAACCTACGCTCTGTATTTACATATTGCTGGTACCTGTATGCATATTATTGCCCAATGTTTCCAGCTGCTCTCGCTGCGGCACGCGCGGCTGCCTACGAAGGGAACCCATCCGCTCAGGCGGAGGCACGGAG